AAAAAACCCTAAAGATGGTAAATTTTATGTATATTTTGCCACAATTGAAAATAATTTTTAAAACTTGAAACGCCATTTTTAACCTTCCGTATTCGTGTTAGCAAAAAGTACATGAAAATGAAAATGAAAATAAGCATTCTTGTGATTTGCTGATCAGAACATAAACATATAATATTAGGGGAAAACAACTTTTCAATATCTGTAAAAACTAAAATTACAGTTACTCTTTGACCGTTGGTCAAGTAATTCTACTTTTACGAATATAGCTTATGCCTACATGTGTGATATTGCATATAATCAAGGTTTTTCAAGCAATAAAAGGTTGGCAACAACCTCAATGTTCATCAATAGTGACCTGGCAAAATATATGATTGCTATCCAATTAGAATACAATAGAACAACACACAATATTAGCACGAGGACTCTCATTACATGCGGATACAAAACAATCTCCAGGGTGCTGCTAAGTGTGCAAAACTGTGCATACTCTGCTATTATATGTGTTAAAAAGTAAAACAGAAACAGAATATGGGTCTCTGTTTTTATTTCTTTTCTTTTGTCTAAAATAACTTTAAATAGAGGCAAGAAACCAGCCACAAGTAAAAATGGTCACTCCAGTTACATCTATGGAGGAAAATGAGACACCCAGGACACAGAATTGGGAAAGAGACTTGGTTTCCACTGTTTATCACCTTTACCTTTCAAATTTAATACTATATATAGGTGTGACCTATTCAAAAAAGTTTAATTGAAAAAGGAAAAGTTATTATCTAGAAGAAAAAAGAAAAGTTATATAATTATGCCCTGTGCTGAGTACAATGCAAGCAGAGAGGAAGGGTATCTAGCATAGTTCAAAGGGAACAGAAATGGCTTCTAGACATCACTCTCCAAAGAAGAAATTTTTGCTATTGGATCAAAAATAGTTGTACATCTCTTTCTGAGCATTGGTTTGTTTCAGTCAATAGACTTGTGAATTAGTGGACAGATTTGTGAATTAATTCACTGTTTAGATTTTCTTTGCACACAGGGTGTTAAAAACCAATAAGCCAAACTTGTGTCCCACCCAGTGGAAGGTGAGCAGGTTTCTGTGGTCAATGATTAGCAATGCCCATGTCCCTGGCTCCATATGTTATACTCTGTATATTTGGTTTGTTTTTTCATCTATGTTTAATGTTAGTCCTCTTTTTTTATTCTATCTGCCCTATAAGGCACTCTATAGCCTTTTTAGTTTAAGGTGGGGTAAGTAGATGGATGGGGAAGAAGGGAGAGAGAGAGGGAGGAAGAAAAAGAAAAAGAGGATAGAGGTTACAAAGCAATGCATGTCATTTCCCTCGCTCCATCTGGGTAGATAAAGTGAATACTCTAGTGCAGTGGTTCTCAAACTGTGGTCCTTGGGCCAGCATCATTACCACCTGTGCCTTTATTAAACATAAAAATCCGTGGGCTCATCCCAACCTGTTAGATCAGATTCTCTGTGGACAAAGCCCAGGAGACTGTATTATATGCCCTCCAGGTGATTTTTACATAAAGTTTGAGAATCACAGGGAATCCATGATTGATTTCTAAACATGAATACACTATTCCCCATTTACCCCATCATACCTATGTTGGTTAAAATAAATAATGCCAACTACTACAATAATCAATCCCCCAAATGCCATTAGCTTAACACAATAAAGGCTTATTTTTTGCTGATGTCAAAGCCAATGTGAAATAGGAAATAGGATATGGGTTTCATGGGGTGGTGGCGAAGAGAGCTGTTTTACTAATTTATTCTGCAATCAGGTCCCTTCCATTGGTTACCATCTTCTAGACTCTGGGACTTTTCCTCTGGATCCCCTGTGACTAAGAAGACAAAGGAAAGAGAGGAGGGTGTTAGAAGCCAGGTCTGAAACATGTTTTCTGCCCACAGTCCCACTGGTTGGAATCCAGACTGCAGGGGAGGCTGGGAAATATGGCCTCTCCGTAGAGCTAAGAGAAGGAAATGGCTTTGGCGAACACAGAGAATTGTCTCTGCCATACCTAGCAACCCAAGGGAATCCCAAACTGTACTTCTAGGTCATATTTTGGTGAACATTTGTTTTCAGTTTCCTTATCTAATAAAGTTTTATCTTTTTTTTTTTTAAACTCCAGCACTATGATACTGATTTACATTCTCTGTGCGATGGGATTCCTGCTCTGTCCAGGTAAGAACCTTTTAGCTTTGTAAAGTGCCTGAATACTTCTACTGTCTCTTGATGGTTCTGACCACTGTGAACCCAGGCCTGAGAGTTGGTGGGTTTCACTCAGTTTCTAGTGAGCATTGCACAATACCACTTGCAAAAAAGACTTTCTGGAGAAGAAGGAAGTGTCGTGACTAAAACCAGGTAGCCCAGCTGATGGTAGGCAGACTCAGCCTGGGATGGAGCCTTGCCCCTGTTTGCAACTTCTTCCTCTGCTAGCTCACACCACTGAGCCTAGATGCACAGAGTAGTGTGGCCCAGCCAGTCCTGCAGTGCCCGGGGGCTGCAGGAAGGTCACTACACTGAGACCCCTGAGACTGAATACTGTGACTCCACACATACTCCCTTGTGGTCTTCTCTGACCCCATTTCTGGCATTCTCAGGTGCTTAGGAAACAACTAACAGGCTTCCAAATGTCTCCTTCCATACAGGGCATTGGTGTCCATGTCCCCCACCTTCCCTTCCTCCTCCCAGTCCCCTCCCTCCATGCCCAAGCCCACAGATCATGGCTGCCACCAGCCACTGACAACTGCAGACCTTTAGCAAATCACATCAGCCCATTTACCACTATGCTAATGAAGCTAAAGCTTCAGGCCCCCACCCACCCACACAAACCCTTTCCAGATCCCCGTCAGGACTGCTTGAAGAGACCTAGCAGTGTGGTCACATTTCTTATGTTTTGGCAAAATTTGAATAAGTCAGATATTTTAGCCACAAGTACTTATGACCACTGTCTCTTTCCACTACAATTCTTCTCTCTATTACATTCTCCTCCTGTTGGGCAGTGTTGTAGTGACCGTGGCCATTTTGTATTTGAATTCTACTTTCTTTTTCTTTTCAAGCTCCCCTTCAAAATATTAATATTAGTCAGCCACAATGGATCATGCCTGTAATCCTAGCACTCCAGGAGGCCAAAGCAGGTGGATTTGCTTGAGTTCAAGAGTTCAGTTCCAGACTAGCCTGAGCAAGAGTTAGATCCTATCTTTACTAAAAATAGGGGGAAAAACCCTGGGAATCATCGTGGGTGCCTGTAGTTCCAACTACTCGGGAAGCTGAAACAGAATCACTTGAGCCCTGAGTTTCAGGTTGCTGTGAGCTATGATGATACCACAGCACTCTACCCACTCTAAAAAAAAAAAAAAGAACAAAACTTATATATATAAAATAGCTCCAGGCCTCACAAAACTCAGATCTTCCCTGTTTGCTGTTCCTTTCCTAGTTTCAGTTTCTTCAATTGTGAACTAGGGTTGGCAGAGTCCCTGCCATGCACCCTAAATGACTCAGTGCCATTTAGTTTCTCCAGTCTGCCCCTTCCTGCTGCAGCCCTGAGAGGGAAGCCATCCCAGCCACCAAGTGAGGCAGACAGGGAGGAGAGCTGAGTCACCCCTGATGGAGCAGCCCCACCACGTGTCCACCTGCTCCAGAGGGCCCCTCACCAAGCCCTTGGCCCCTACCCCCAGGCCTGCTGGGAATGACAAGGAGTCAGGGTAGGAGGGAGAGGTGCTCCTTCAGATCAGTGCTGTCTGGGTTGGATAGGCCTTTTGTGATTTCTGTTTCTGCTTAGTGCCCTGAGCTTGCTGGTCAAATCTTAATGAGCCCTTGAACGTGAGGTCTGTAGATGTGGGAACTGATCACTGACTTAGCTTCCAGCAGCTTCCCTCTCCCAGGGCCCATGACCTGCCACCTTAGCTCTTGGGGGGATGGAAAGTGTGTGTGTATGTGTATGCGCACATGTATGTGTGTGTGAACAAAGTGAAAGTGCAAGAGAGAGAAAAAAGGGGGAGAAGAAAAGACCCTGGAGAACATTATCTCTAAGCATGACTCTCTTCTTATCCCACTTCTTATTTATTTGCCAAAAAAATGCATACACATCTTAAGAAAGGAAAAAACTATATTAAATTTATAACACTCAAGTCACGTTTGACTTCCGTAATTTTAAGAGGTTCTCAACATGACTTGTATCAATTTTTGTTATTAGTATATATATTGAACATTATAATTTTAATACAATTTTTCATTTCTTAAAATGTGTGTACATTTTTGTATTGTTGGGGATTCATTGAGGGTACAAAGAACCAGTGATTGCATTTGCACCCTCTCTATATATATCAACAGTCATGAGTCATTTAATAATACAGATACATGCAGAGAAATGTCTTGTTAGGCAACTTCATCATTGAACCAACACCATAGAGTGTACTTACATGTCTCTAGACAGCAGAGCCTACTACACACCCAGGCTGCAGGGTCTGGCCTGTTGCTCCTGGGCTATAAACCTGTGTGATATGTTAGTGTCCTCAATACTATAGGCAGTTGTAACTCAGTGTTAAATATTTGTATATCTAAACGTGTCTAAACATAGAAAAGGTACGGTAGAAATACAATATTATAATCTTTTTAAAAATTTCCTTGCTTATTTTTTATTTTTATTTCTTTGCTTTTTTGTTGAGACAGAATCCCCCCCTATGCCCTGAGCAGAGTGCAATGGCATCATAGCTCACTGCAACTTCCGACTCAGGCTGTGGGCATCCTGCTGCCTCAGCCTCTGAAAGCCACTAGGATTACAGGTGCTTACCAGGGCACCCAGCTGGGTTTTTCCATTTTTTTAGGAAACAGGGTCTCACTCTCGCTCAGGCAAGTCTCGAACTCCTGAGCTCAAGCAATACTCCTTCCTCAGCCTCTCACAGTTCTGGGATTACAGGTGTGAGCCGCCATGCCCAGCACAATATTATAATCTTAACGGACTACCATGGTCTATGTGGTCTGTCACTGACTAAAATGTTATTATACAGTGCATGACTATATGTATAATATCTGTTGGGCCAGGTGCTGTTCTAAGCATTTAATAAATATGGTCTCATGTAAGCATCATCTTTCTGCTTTTTAGGTCTTCTTATTATTCTGCATTTTAAGATGTGGGCACTTAAGCCCAGAGAGGTTAAGTAATTTACCTAAGCTCAACATAGCTGCTAAATGGCAGAGGTTGGATTCACACTCAGCGGTGTAGATTAGCATCTGTTCACTTAACCATGACATTATGCTGCTTCTAACTCTTGCTAGTGAATCACCCGTAAGTGTGAGCATTCTTCCTTGGGGACCTCAAGGAATTGAGGGGAATACGGCCTCAGCTTCATCCCTGTTCATAAGCTCCTCACCAGCACATCTTCCATCCTGCCTGCAGCTGACTTGGTCCCCAGCCCTTTTCATCACAGTGACCAGCCCAGTTCTTATGACCTGGGAAAGAGGAAAGAAAAATGCCCTGGAAACAACTTTTCAGAAAATGCTAAACTGTAACACCATTTTCCCAAACTTTCTAACTCTGTCCACTGAAAGGGAGAAAGTAAAGGCTAGAAATCTCATCAAAACTGAGTCCAGGTGTCACTTTTGCCCTTGCCTTGTCTCTGAAATTGCTTGGAAACTAAAGCTGAAAAATAACTCCCCCAATTGGTAACTGTTTAAGTTTTATGGTGCTGAGAAAAGAAGTGACTATATTTTTAACAGAACAAATTTAAAGTGCGATAGAAAACATGTGACAGCTGATTAGAAAATAAAACCAATACTTTATACACTGTTAAAAACAACAGCAAAACAGAGGCCATTCTTTATAAAAGAATGAAAAGAATATGTTTGCATCTTATCTGTCTTTCTTCTTAGAGGCTCCTCTGCTTACTGGGCTGGGCAACAGTGACCTAGCCATAGGGCAGGCATCCAACAGGAGAAAGGAGATGCAATTGGCCCATAGCAAAAATGTGAGGCTGAATAATTCATTGGATGGTATAGAATGATTCATTGGATGGTATAGAGGTGTTCTCATTCCTAATCAGTCAGGAGAGATGGGGGCAACCGATGGAGGAGTGGTAGTAGAAGGAATGAAATTAAATGACAGGTGAGATGCAGGAAGCTGACATTTTTGAGGGGCTGCAATGGTAAAAATAGGGCCTCAGGTCCGATTCAGAGAGGAGATAGCTGGGGTAAAATAGATGACCAGACACTGGGAGAAGGAGGGTGAGAAAGCAGGAGGCCAGGGGACTATGTGTGTGAGTTTGGGTAATGACAGCCGTGGTGGAGAGGATGACAGCAGCAGCCAGGTGCCCAGAGTTCCAGTGAATGCAGGGGCAGCTGGGAGGAAGGAGAGTAACGCCAGCTACGAAGGAAACTGGGTGCTATCGTCCAATGGCTTGTACTTCAAAGGAGCTGGGTTTTATAATCATATTCTACATATTATATTATACTTGATATATTTCAGTAGATCATGTTTCATATAACATAACATATGTTGTATATTTTATGAAATACATACATATTTGTGTCTATATAAAATGTACATAATTATACATATACATATTTGTCTATATAATAGGATACACGATGAACATGAAATCAAAGCAAAGATAATATTTTTTTTTTTTTTGAGACAGAGTCTTAAGCTGTCATCCTGGGTAGAGTGTATGGCGTCACAGCTCACAGCAACTTCCAACTCTTGGGCTTAAGCAGTTCTCTTGTCTCAGCCTCCCACGTAGCTGGGACAACAGGCATCTGCCACAACACCCGGCTATTTTTTGGTTGTAGTTATTGTTTGGCAGGCCCAGGCTGGATTTGAACCCTCCAGTTCTGGTGTATGTGGCTGGTGCCCTAGCCCCCTAAGCTACAGACTCTGAGTCAAGCAAAGATAATGTTAATAGAAATATCATCCAGGCCACGCAAATTCCTAGAAAGCCATCCTGCCCTACAACAAAAAAAATCTCTTTTTAGTAACCCAAAAGACAATGAATGTCCTGAAGGTCTCTGGATAAATACAAAATGCTTTTTCTCTGATCATACTTCCTCTTTGCCCCATAACTGCCTCTGCCCCCACCCTTTCCTTAACAAATTAAAGTTCAACTCTGGCTATAGTAGTCTAGATCTCAGATGCACTCATGTGGAATCTCTCTTGGGTATTTTCTATTCAGATGATCATAGATAGCAGCAGGTGAGGGAATCAATTATTGAGACAGATGAGAGGAGGGTGGAAGGAGAGGAAGACAGTATCTGTTGCTATCTGGATGGAGGCATTTATCTAGAATTCCATAAAAGTTACAGGCTGGCAATAAGTATCTGTGACTTGTTTAGCTTATACCTGGCAGTTGAATCCATGGGTTTAGAGGAGAAAAACCTCCTATCCTTTAGAGGACAACATGGAGAGTAAGAAGATGAAGAGCATACACTCAAGATCGTCAGCACTTAAGGAGTGACCCCAGAAAACTAACCAGGAGGGCAGACATTGGGGAAGAACAGAGCATTTTAAAAAGAGAGATGCCAACAGTGTTACATTTCCCAGTGTGGTCAAATGAGGGCTGAAAAGAGCCAGGACTTGGCCGTGGTGGGGAGTTATGAGGACCTTTGTCAGTGCAGAGGTGGGGTGGGAGGCTGGGAGTCAAAGGGCAATTGCTGCTTACTATTTCTGGAAGTTTGACTCCTCTGGAAAGAGAAACTAAAAGCAGTAGCAGAGGCGATGTGTGAAGTGAGTGCTGTGAGTGAGGGCCAGGACAGAGAGCCCCGTGAGCAGTGCAGAGGTCAACCTAAAGGTAACCGGACTACAGATTTGTAAAGTCACCAGTGTGCACAATTGGACAATTTTCTCCAGAGTGCTCAACCACTCAGTTGGAAGGACAGATATGTCAATTGAAAGTAGAGTTGTCCTCTGGATAAAGTCTGCAGAGACAAAAGGGCATGCTTATTGAAGTTGCGGCAAGGAATAATGAAAATGACATTCTACTGCTGCTTTGTCCAATATAATAGACATTAGCTGTGTATGACTGTTAAATTTCAATTAATTAAAATAAAATAAGATTTAAGGTTCAATTTTTCAGTCATGTTAGCTACCTATCGAGTGCTCATAGCCATGGTGGCTGGTGGCTACCATATTGTTCAGCGCAGTGACAGAATATTTCCATCATCTCAAAGAGTTCTTTTGGAAAACACTGCACTATAGGGACTAGACTAGATAGAGCTGAGGCCTTGATGAAGCTGGGCAGATGTAAAGTTCATAAGCAAGAGCAAAAGCTGGAGGAATGAGGTGGTGGACAGAGATGAGTATATTGAGATTAAGATTCTGGGGGTTGTGCTTTTCCAGGTGATAAAGTTCAGGGTTATGTCATGGGGAGTATGCTGCTGAAATAATCTGTGGATGAAGACCTTTGGGGTTGTCAAGATCAAAGGAATTTTGAGGTATGGTCGTTGGTATACTCATCCATGAAGAAGTCATCCAAATTGATGGCAAGAATTGGTTAGAAAGTAAGACCTTGCATCTAATGCCAAAATCCTCCATGAGCAAGCGGGTAATGACCAATGATTAGTAGCAATGAGACAGGCAGACACCCCAAAATGGGAGGGTGCTGCTTAGTAGGGCAGATTTCTGTGAAGGAACAACTCTGTGGGAACCTTTGCGGAGAGGTTGAGGATGTAGAAGAGTTTATTTGTAGTAAACAATGAAACAAGGCTTTTAGAGGGCCTGGTAAAGCTTTGAAAGAAGTTTAGTAAAAGAAGTGCAACTTGTGAGAATATGTAAGTAACCTGAGGAAGAGATGATTCTTGAATATGTTATGACATGCATTTGGGGTAGTGGTTAAGGAAGACTGAAGTCGCCGTGGGGTCAGAGACCTCATAAGTGTAGAAGACTAAAGTTTTGTGTGGCATTCAACAGTACAGTATATTGCTGAGGAATTCCTTAAGTATTCTTTGAGACTAACTCAGCTGATTAGGGAGGTGTCTAGTTGGATTCATGAATGCTTCATTCCTGGCATCAACATAACAATCAATACTAGACCTTGACCATCCTCTTAGTCTAGTGCTAGGGAAGGGAGAAATTCTCAATACTCACACAGCCATGGAGTCCCAGCAAGTCCATTTGCTAGGTGGCCTGAGGTCTGGTCATAATAGGGAGGCCTGAAGGTACTTGGGGAAAACAGACCTTGAGCAAAATCTTCCCCATGTAGTCAGATCAGAGACTAGCAGGATTCCCCCACGCCTGGCTCTGAGTGAGGTCATGGAAGCCCATGGCTAATGAGCAGCTACAGAGGGTAAATTGTGAAATACTTTCAGTTCCACTTAGAGTGATTTCCACCCCAAGAGGGAGGGCGGGGAGAAGGAGTGTTGGGAGGGACAGATTGAAACAAATTTGTCTTGTCATCTGTCATCCAGAAGCAGACATTGTCTACAGCAGCTGCTCAAGCTAGAGCTCTTGTTGAAATGCAGACTCTGACTCAGTATGTCTTGGATAGGGCCAGAGATTCTGTATTTCAGATCAGTTCACAGGGGATGCCAATGCTTTTGGTCCACAGATCACTGCTGCAGTTGTGAGGTCAAGAGTGGGAAAGAAAGTCCCCATCATCTTTGGGAGAAGGAGCCTGAGTCAGAGAAGTGGGTCTTTGAGTAGAGTGGGTGGGAAGAAGAGATGATACTAATGAGGCTCTAAAATGTAAATCAAGAAAAGCAAAGGCAAAGAGTGAAGTCATTTCTAGGTCCAGAAGGCACCGCTGTCAGCTGAGTAATAACCTAATATCAACTTTTAATTGGCAGAATTTTCAGCTATGTTTTTGATTTCTCCAATAACTCATCTGCCGTGTATCATAAGGCAAATTAGAATTGAATTAGAACCATTGGAATGTATTTTCCAGAGACAGCGCTAAAAACTTTTACAGTAGGTGGCACTCTTGCATTAAGAGTTTAGCAAAGGTGGCTCAGAAACCTCAGGTTTGCCTTGTAAGGTAATTTACAGAATACAGTAAATCTTCCTTATGTCTCCCTTTCCCTGTCTTCCTACCCACATAGATTTTCCCTCCTCCCTCCAACATAGGTGTATCCTATACAGATGGTGCATTTTATCCTTTAAGTGCTTCGTGGAGTTCTAGTGAGTGCGATGCAATATGCAGTGATTTAAATTTGTGCCAACTCTCACAGATGCCTGGAGTCTGCTTTCCTTAGAGTTCAAGGCCACCACCAACCCCTTGATTGTGTTTTCTCTCTGGACTATTCTGCAGTCAGTTTGGTTTTACCAAATGCATGCCCTGTTGTCTTTCTATTCCCTTTTTGAAAAGAAACCCATTAATTGGATCCATTTAGCTTTCCCCCCATCAAAGGCCCCTTGATGAAATTCTTCTCATCTTTCTCACCAACCCATCCCTCCCTTAATGTTAACATCCCTTTGCCGAAATACTGAATGATAAAACTTTATTTAGAACCAATTCTAACTTCTTATACTCTCTCCCACCCCGAACATCTTACCCACCTTGACTTACTTTCTTGCCAAGTCTCAAGTAACCCTGTAGACTTTTTCTGAGTTCACCCACATTCTGAGTTGGGTGGCCCAAATCCCTCCCATAAATTCCAGTATGCTTTCAGTAACCAAAGTCTTTCACAGAACTCTTCTAGTAAGTTCCTTGTGAGCTGTGAAAATTTCCAGGGGCAGTGTACACTGGGACCAACAAGCCTGTGGGGCTCCCAGAGCACATCTTCACCTTCCCACCTATTATTCATTTCCAACATTTTATTCATGTGCCTTAAATATCTCTTGACTACCACAATCCCAAAAGAATAGTCAGATTTGCCCAGTTCTCTTTCTGATCCCTGAAAGAGTTTAGAGAGGTCACTGAGAATAGAGGCCTTGGTTCACTCTATTTGTGTCATTTCCAAACCAGTTGACATTCTTGTGGGTGCTGGCCATGGAAGTAGCGGGCATGGGGAGATGTTCTATAGAGAGAATATTTGAATTTCAAAGATTTTATTCAATGTGATCCCCAATCAATGAGGCATAATAAAGGGGAGCTATCAAATATGCAGTAGAACTTCTGTAAGTTGACCATCCTAGGGACTGTAACAAACTGGTCAACATATGGAGATGGTCAATATAAGGAACTAGGCCTACCGTACTGACACATACATCTGGTTCATGTCTGGTCTACGAAAATAAGGTCAACTTAAGGAGGTGATCAATTTAGGGAGGTGATCAACTTTATCAGTAGCAGAGTGAGGTATAAGGGAATACGGAGGGGAGGGGAGAGTTTTTGGTGATGCTGTGGAACTTTTGGAGCCAGTAACAGCTACAGTGATGGGAATCAGTATTCAGGATAGAGGAAAATAGCTGGT